TTTATTCTTTGCTATATCTGCCAGTAGTTTTTTTTTTCACGTGTTAAATATTTATTTAAAAGCCTCAGAACTGATTACTTAACAAAACAACTGATTCTTCTTGCACATGAACATATATTAATTAGGGTTCTTTAGAGAGAATTGGTCACTTTGCCCATTAAGAATAAACCTCCCACCCACTGAAACTCAACTTTCCTCGGAACACCCACCACCCCATGGATCTATTGGTAAATCCCTAGTCCTTCTAGGTATAGAGGAGTATGTGACCTCTTCCCAGGATGGTATGTGAGGAGGAGGAGGTCATTAACCCCTCACCCACTGATAATCAACTACCCTTTGCGCACCCATCACTCTATTGATCCATTGGTGCCCTTGATAACTACCTGGTCCTTCTAGGTGTAGAGGAGCATGTGACCTCTTACCAGGTTGAAATGTGAGGAAGAGGAAGTGATTAACCCCTCACCCACTAATAATATACTTCCCTTTGTACAACCACCACCCCCATGAATCCACTGGTGCCCTTAATAAATACCTGATCCTTCTCATTGTAGAGAAGCATGTGACCTTTTCCCAGCTTGGGATGTGAGGAGGATGAAGTAATTAACCTCTCACCCACTGATATTCAACTTCCCTTTGGGCACCCACCACCCCATGGATCCATGGGTGCACTTGATAAATACCTGGTCCTTCCCAGTGTAGAGGAGCATGTGACCTGTTCCCAGGTTGGAATGTGAGGAGGAGGTCATTAAGCTCTCACACCTATCAACAATGCGATTACACAAGCTTTGGAAGCTTCTTTCCAGCAGAGGAAAGGAGCTGTGGGGGAGTTGGAACGTGTTTGTCAGTTGGTGGGGGTTGCTCTTGCAGGAGAACCTGTCACTTTCTTTTTAAAGGACAACTATGCAGATCAGGACTAAAGAGACTCTGTCAAATTGTTCATGCAAAGTAGGGAAGTGGAGGGGGAGAGACACTGCAGGGAGGACCAGTCCAGCAGCCTGGCTCGACTGCGATTCAGGTAAGTATATCTTTTCTATTTTAGCTCCCTAGACAAATCAAGCACTTAAGCCTTGCAATGAGGGGGTAGCCCCACTGCAAGGGTTAATTTTGCTTCTTCTTTAAGCTTCACAGATTTATTTTTACTACTTGAGTACCAGCCTGTAATACCCCTTCAATACCAGGCCATTTTTCAGTTTGACCGACAATTACTCAGTCATGAAACAGTGTACCCAAACACATTTTACATATACACTCACTGGCTGCTTTATTTGGTACACCTCTTCAACTGCTCGTTAACACAAATATCTAAACAGCCAATCACATGGCAGTAACTCAATACATTTAGGTATGTGGACATGGTCAAGATGGTCTGCTGAAGTTCAAACCGAGCATCAGAATGGGGAACAAAAGTGATTTAAGTGATTTTGAAGATGGCATGGTTGTTGGTGCCAGACGGACTGGTTTGAGTATTTCAGCAAATGCTGATCTATTGGGATTTTCATACACAACCATCTCTCGGGTTTACAGAGAATGGACTGAAAAAGAGAAAATATCCAGTGAGGGGCAGCTGTCTGGGCAAGGATACCTTGTTGATGCCAGAGGTCAGAGGAGAATGGCCAGACTGGTTCAAGCTGATAGAAAGGCAACAATAACTCAAATAACCATTCGTTACATCCAAGGTATGCAGAATAGGATCTCTGAACACATTGAACCTTGAAGCAGATGGGCTACAGCCACAAAAGACCACACCGAGTGCCACTCCTGTCATCTAAGAACAGGAAACTTGGTGAGCCCTTAAAGTTTGCAAGTAGGGATGCACAGATACTTTTTGAGTACCGGTGCCGATACTTGGCATTTTCATGAGAACTACCAGGTTTTCAGCGGTTGCAGCTGGGACCTGGCTCTGGCGCGTATTGTTTTTTAGAAAAACTGTCACATGACAATAAACAAAAATGTATCAGTACTCGTACTTGTAAGTACTCGGCAAGTACCAGTACTCGTACTCGCAAAACTGGTATCTGTGCATCCCTTTATTTATATTTATAAAAACAAAATTGTACATTAAAACAGAGATGTACAAATCCCAGGAGCTCCGTGTGCTCCTTACAAATGACAGCTGCCTCCTAATTTTTGTCTAGTCTAGTCTTGGAGCCTTGTACCGAGTACTGTACATGGTATCTGTGCAGCCCTATTTGCAAGGGCTCACCAAAATTGTAAAATAGAAGATTGGAAAAACGTTGCCTTGTCTGATGAGTCTTGATTTCTGCTGCGACATTCGGATGGTCGGGTCAGAATTTGATGTAAACAACATTAAAACATGGATCTAGCCTGCCGTGTATCAACGGTTTAGGCTGGTGGAGCTTTGCATCATGGATGTGCAGCTGTCAAATCTGCAGCAACTGTGTGATGCTATCATGTCAGTATGGACCAAACTCTCTAAGGAGTGTATCCATCTCCTTGTTGAATTAATGCCACAAAGAATTTAAGCAGTTCTGAAGACAAAAGGTGACCAACCCAGTACTAGCAAGGTGTACCTAATAAAGTGGCCAGTGAGTGTATATGTATGTATATATAT